TGCTGAGGATCCCCTTTGGACCATCACCTTACCTCTCCTCCCTTCCCCCTACGCAGGGAGTCTAGCAGCAGACGCGGGCGTGGGAGGAGGGAGAGGCACACACACACACACACACACACACACACAACCAGGCTCGGGAGGAGGGAAAGTTACCGGAAAATAAAAAGGTGGTGGTTGTTTTTCCTGCCCATTCACAATATTCCAGTGTCAACAGGAGGAAACTGACACTAAAACAACGGGAGGAGGGAGATGTACCTGGCGCAGAAAAAACAGCAATCAGGGCTGCAGAATGCAAGGGAGGGAGCAACCTCTTAGCTGGGGAGGAAGATGGACTCGCACATGACAAGGCTGGAGTAGCTGGAAACTTTTATTCAGGAAAAAGGGACATGATTTTTTTCCTTGTGGATCCAAGTATCTCCAGGGCTGTCTCTCAAGCTGGTAGCATTTTGAACGAGGGAGAGTTCTAAACAGTGCAGAGTCGAGTGGGATTTTAAAGGTCCCTTCAAGAATGCAGCACCTTCTTCCTCACCCGTGGGAAAGAGCTTTAAAAACGGCCTGAAATAATCCAAAACAAGAACCACTGTTCACATGAGACTTGGCTGGTTATGGCTCCAGCCCCACTGTTGAAGCACTGTTGAAACTGCGGGCTGAGTTATACCCAGTACAATCCCACTGAGGTGTGTGTGGCATCCAGGTGTATAAATCAGGGCAGAAAAAAAAGACTGGTGCCTGAATATAATTCCTTTTCTTATTAAACTGCATATCCCAAGCACCTCTTTACTTTTCAGGATTAGAGGGAAATACTCTATTTTAGAGAGAATGAACGGCCATTTGGGAGTTGATGGCCCAGAGTAGTGGCAGACAAGGGCCTGCATGAGGGCTGGACTCAGCCATTGGTATCAGCTATTTCTTTGTCATTCAAATGGATTTCGGGTCCTGGCTGACATCCCAGCCATCATGTAAAATACTTCCCTGTGGACTTTTGACATGCACACAGAGGTATCTCACTGCCAAGTCCCTATCCTAGGTGGGGAGGGGAGGGCGAAGGCTGCAGGATGATCTCCCACCTCCATGCAGCCAGTGGCCTGTGCTCCCCGCTGCCATGCTGGAGCCTCCACATCTATTTATTGACAAAATTTGCAGAATTTTAAAATATTGTGCACAGAATTTAATTTTTGGTGCTGAATTTCCTCAGGAATATGGGGTGCTGGGCAGTTGGGGGGGGCTGTGAGAGGGGTGCTGGGCAGTGGGGGCGGTCTGTGGGTGGGAGATCGCTGGGCATAGGGATCTGTGGTGGAAATCTCTGGGTGAGGGGCCACTGGGCATGAGGGTTGCTGGGCATAAGGGGGTGGGGGATACTGGGCAGGGGGGCGGTATGGCAGGGCACGTTGGCAGTGCAGGGCTGGGGTTGGGGGCACAGGTGGGAGGGAAGTGCAGGGGTTGGGGTGAAGGCAGACAACTAAACTGTTTTTAATAAAGTGCATGTGGCAAGTTTTCCAATACTTTAAGCTTATGTTTGTGTTGGTAAGAGCAAGTCGAGCAGAGAGGCACCACTTTAATAATGCTAGGGCCGCATAAATTCTAAGGATGCCCTACAGTCGTCCCTTCACTTGGGGAAGCAGAGAGGAACATTTCGCCCTTCATACTGTTACAGCTCCTACCCCCACTGCCCCACCCCAGTTACTTTCTTTTTCTAACGCAGATCCAGAGATCTTTCAAGACATTTGGAAGCCAGAGCAAATGGAATCTGTTATTCTCCATTCTGGCTTTAAATACAAATATATAAACAAACTATTCAAATATATAAACCTGCAAACATACGCCCTCCATTTCCAGGAGGGAGCAGAGAACTTGCCACACCCATACATTCCTTAGTCTATCTGCACTGAAGATTCTGGCTTTCTCTATAGAATTCAACTGACTGTAATATGATCTTAGCTCAATAAAAATATCATGCACTGTGGACTCACCTTGAAGCATTGGAGAGAGCTTGTTCAGACAGAATTTGAGATTTTTTTTCATCCAGAAAGAGAGGACACCAGTTCTCTGCAATCTGGTATGATCAGAGCATAGTTTCACTTTTGCATGTGGCCCCTGCGTTTCCTGTTTCTTCAAAAGCAGTCACTGTTAGAACTAGCCCTGTCACCAGTGGGGAAAAAAACACTCTTAAATTGAAGCTAAGGTTTTAATTATGCAGTGCCACCTGGTGTCCAGAATAACTAGTGGGCTTGCAAATATCCACGTACCACCCCCAGTGTGCACAGAGCCTTCTCTTCTCATTGGTCTTGTTTTTAAAAGTGAAAGCAGAAGACCAGAAGTTCAAAGTGCAGGCAATGCAGTGCTTATTGGGGTTAGTTCCAAGCAAGAATATCCATAGTTCTATCTACTAGCACAGCCCGATTCCCAGTGTTCTGCTCCCAGCTCTGATGCCACACGGCATTTTCCCGTGTCCCCATTCCCACCTCCTCTTTCTTAGCAAGCCCAAACATACTCGCAGTTCATGTCCCTAGTCCCACCCCTTACAATTTATGGTCATGTTCCATTTTGGAGGGTCGTGAGTCTGGGATCTTCATCCCACTTCTTCTGTATCCCGTGGGAGGGGTAAGGAGTGAAGTCATGTTCTGGCCAGGCTTTTCTTTGGCTTTTAGTGTTTCTTATGCCTGCCCCGCATTTCCCCTTGCCCCTCCTAACTGGTTTCTTGACCTTGGCTTGAGAGAGGAGCCAGGCAGCCTTCCAGTGTATGCTCATCTTTTATACTCCCACCATAGCCTGTAACACTTTTAACTCCATCTCTTATCACCCCATCTCTTGTGGGCAGATGTAACACACAGTGTCTTTGTTCACACATATTAGTAAAGGATATAAGAGTATCAAAAGTTCAAACCCCAATCTCAGGCTAAGACAGAGGCCTATAAACTAATACCACAAACCTCCCATTCCCCCTTCTCATTGCTGCTCCAAGGCTCCTGTAGTTCTTCTTCCCATGGCTGCCTACAGCAGCCACTTTCCCAGGATGTGGCTTCCTCCTTTTTCTGCTTTACAAGTGCTCCATCTCCTCTCATAACACACATGCTCCAGGCCAGTGCTGTCTGTGCTCCAGGCCCTCCTGGCTCAAGCCCTCCATGGGTTCCCATAAACACTCAGGCTTCCACAGCCCTCTTCCAAGAGGGTGTGCGTGCAATCCTTCAAACACACAACTTCCACAAACCATAACACTTTCTGTCAGGGGTTCCGCTAGTCCTTCCCCTCCTAGAGTCCAGAGGGCACAGAGGCTCCTGCAGTCTCTTTCAAGGCAAGGGGTTCCCAAAGTCCTCCACACCTTGGTTACAGGGGTCCCTTGAGTACTGACATAAAGTACAAAGTTCTTCATCCCTTGGTTGCACCTCTAATTGGTACCTAAACCCTCCCTCTGCTCCAGGCTCCATGGGACCATGTGTTATGGCGCAACTGCCCACCCTCAAACTTCAAACTGTTCTGCTTTACCTGGCCCAGGGCTGCTTCAAACTTCTCCCACTGGCCTCCTGCTAGGCCGCCTCAGACAGAGTCAGCTAATCACAGCCCCTCATTAGCTACAGTCCCAGCTTCCTCTAGTCCACCTTGCCACTGCTTCACCTAGCTTCCCTCCTGCACCCACAGGGCTGTTTTATATCTTGCTTCCACCTTCCCAGCAGGCCTTGCTTCCTTGGAGTCATATGCTCCCTCTGGTTATAGGGCCCTGAGAACACCTGGCGTACAGGGGCTGCAACCCCTGAATGTATGGGTGTGGCAGAGTCCTGCACCTAGGACGGAAGAATCCCATGCACTGCTACAGACTAGGGACCGAATGGCTAGGTAGCAGTTCTGCAGAAAAGGACCTAGGGGTCACAGTGGATGAGAAGCTGGATATGAGTCAACAGTGTGCTCTTGTTGCCAAGAAGGCTAATGGCATTTTGGGCTGTATAAGTAGGGGCATTGCCAGCAGATCAAGGAACGTGATCATTCCCCTTTATTTGACATTGGTGAGGCCTCATCTGGAATACTGTGTCCAGTTTTGGGCCCCACACTACAAGAAGGATGTGGAAAAATTGGAAAGAGTCCTACGGAGGGCAACAAAAATTATTAGGGGTCTGGAGCACATGACTTATGAGGAGAGGCTGAGGAAACTGGGATTGTTTAGTCTCCAGAAGAGAAGAATGAGGGGGGATTTGATAGCAGCCTTCAACTACCTGAAGGGGGGTTCCAAAGAGGATGGAGCTCGGCTGTTCTCAGTGGTGGCAGATGACAGAACAAGGAGCAATGGTCTCAAGTTGCAGTGGGGGAGGTCCCGGTTGGATATTAGGAAAAACTATTTCACTAGGAGGGTGGTGAAACACTGGAATGTGTTACCTAGGGAGGTGGTGGAGTCTCCTTCCTTGGAGGTTTTTAAGGCCCGGCTTGACAAAGCCCTGGCTGGGATGATTTAGTTGGGAATTGGTCCTGCTCTGAGCAGGGGGTTGGACTAGATGACCTCTTGAGGTCCCTTCCAACCCTGATATTCTATGATTCTAACCTCACAACAATAGCAGTTGCTAGACCAGGTAGAGGCAGCTTAGGCATTTTTGCCCTTAAATAGAATTCTGCAAAGAGCTACAAACCAATCCACATTTCAACCACCAGCACAAAGTCAGGATTAAAATGAGAAAGAAGGAAATGGTGCAATAGGGACAGTAACAGTTAAGAAAACTGGTGAGAAAACCCAGCCCCACACACATTCAGAGATTTTAAATCAGAAGGGACCATTACATCATCTTGTCTGACCTCCTATATAACACAGGCCATTGAATTTCACTCAGTTTACCCTGTATTGAGCCCAGTAAATTGCACTTGATTAACGTAGATCTTCCAGAATGGCAGCAGTCTTGAAGATGGTAGGAGATGAAGAATCCATCACTTCCCTGGATAGTTTGTTCCAGTGGCTAATCATTGTCACTGTTACCAATTTGTGCTTTAGGTAAAATTTGAATTTGTCTGGCTTTAACTTTCAGCCACTGGTTCTTGTCATGCCTTTCACTGCTAAATTAAAGAGACATTTAGTAACTGGTATTTTCTCCACCATGAAGGTATTTTACACCATGATCAAGTCACCTCGATCTTTTTGATTAATTAAACAGAAGTTGTCTCACACTTCTTATCAAAATGTCTGTACTGGGCTATCTTGATTATCACTTCAAAAGTTTTTTTTTCCTCTTACTTAATTGGCCTCTCAGAGTTGGTAAGACAACTCCCACCTTTTCATGTTCTCTGTATGTGTTTATATATATCCTCAATATATGTTCCATTCTATGCATCTGAAGAAGTGGGCTGTAGCCCACGAAAGCTTATGCTCTAATAAATTTGTTAGTCTCTAAGGTGCCACAAGTACTCCTGTTCTTTAAACAGATTGAGCCTCTTAAGTTTCACTGTAAGGCATTTTCTCCAGCCCTCAAACAGTTTTGTGGCTCTTCTCTGCACCATCTCTAATTTTTCAACATTTTTAAAA